CTTTGATGCTAGACGGCTTACAATGGTTGTCGGTGAAGCAAAGAATTGTATATTTGACTATGGTGTTCATTTTTATCATTTTTATCAATTTTCATCGAATTGAAAGAGGAAGTGACTTTCATATATATAATGCTAGAAACGCGACTGAAATAAGAACACCACATTTCTTGACTTGTGCATCACAAAATTCATTTTATTATAAAGAAATAAATGTTTTCAATTCGATGCCGACATATAAACGTTCAGCAACACTTACAGAATTTAAAAGACACTGCATTTTACACGTTTAAACTGTCATTTGAACAGTTTCCAGTGATTTTTTTATGAATTGACAAATTATGTACTTTAACGAAGTTATCTCTAATGAATTATTTTATATGGATAGCGGTCATAACGACTTTTTAATAATTATTGTAGCACTGCAAAAACTATTTCTGTTCGCCATTTGGTGGATTTTTAATATTTGATTTATTAGTTGTAGATTAAAAAAAAAGTAGTCTACAAAGGTTTGAACCTCGCGCGCGTATTACGGATATAGAGGACTGAATTTGAAATTTGATAAAAAAAAATGCAGTTTAGAAGCTTATTTGGAAGATACCTTGAGTTAGTAGTAAGTTTTTTTTGGCAAATGTTAGGGGTTCGTGAGCATTCCTGACATTGCTGAAAATTATGATAGCATCATATTGCGGGGTTGCTAGTGTAATAGGATGCTTTGTCGATTGTTCATTAACTCTTGATTGCTTGTAATACTTATGAATATTTTAGGTGGACAAAAAGGCGAACTAAGACTTTGACGCCTGAGCCTTTTCACATTTATATCGCTGTGAAGCAACTGTAAACTCTAGAGGGAATTTATATCTGTAACTGTAGCCATTTAGATTTTGTTTGCAAACCTGGTTAAATTGTCATATAAAATTATCTTAAAAATAAATCGTCCAGCTCAAACCTTTGTAGGGGCAAGAGGTGGGACCATCATCATCATCATCATCATAAAATACTGGTAAGTTTTAATATGTCTTTTTTATGTTATGGACACTCTAAAATCCATGGCTCCTCCCAAATCTAAGAATCATAGGAGTTATATATCATATATTTGTTTGGAAGCCACATTATCATGCTACAATATGAGTCTAAGAAAGAACCGATTTCATCATGTAGGTAGAAGAAAGAAATGGAAATGTGATTTTCTCCTTCGGAAATAAATATAAGGACGCCATACAAAAAAAAATGTATGGGAAATTGGTCATTTTCTAAACATTAATTAGCATGTCAACAATGATTTTGGCACCAAAATAATCAAAGAGTTAGTTCAAATAATAATTGAAATTCATTGCTGAAAAGTTACCCGAGTAAAAATTTTCCATACAAAAACAATAGAACCTATTGTTACAATACAATAAAACCTTTTGAAACAAAAATAAATGTTATTGTCAAAACCAATAAAAATACAATAGAACTTATTGTTATGAAAATCTAATCTATTGTTAATGGGACATTTACAATAGAAAAGTGGGGTTGTTAGTTACCGAAACCATAAAAAAATCAAAATTTTACGCAAACAAATTTGGTCTCATTACAATAAATTTTATTGTTTTTTTATTGTGAAAATTTTTGATTTCATAGAATTTGTTGTAATCGGCTCCGCAAAGCTACAGCAAATGAGCCTGGAAAAATAAACGAATTATTAAAAAAAAAATAGAATTTGTTGTAAACCTATTGTGGTGACTATTTGATTATTTGACCAATACAATTGAATTACAATAAGATTGATTGTCAACAATGGAATCAATTGTATTTAATTGATATTTTATTGTAATTTTATGGTTATTTTAATATTAAGCAGATCCAATTGCTTCTACTCGAACATCACAAAAATCATTGGTTGATCAGTGATAATCAAATATGAGATACATACATTTAGGCGAAGTAGTCGCTTAGCACCTTAGCAAAGGTCATGTTCAATGATTATTTGAACAAAGTTATTGGTTATTTCGATGCCACAATAAGTTAAGAGATGTTTAAACATGATTCCAAATTGACTAATCCTTACATGGGTTATATAAATATGAGATACATCCTTACATGTGTTATATAAATATTAGATACATACATTTAGGCGTTTCGCGAACTAGTTTCTGTTTATCCATGTCGATTAAATTCGAATGTTCTATAACAGGCATAACATTTGATAACGGCACAAAAGCATTTGTAAACAAACTTTCTAAGGCTCTTTACACGTGAACCAACGTACGCCCACGCAAACCAACAACATAATCGGATAGGGGCTACTATCACCTTTCCGAAAGTGGTATTGGTTTGCGTGGGCGTACTTTGGTTCGCGTGTAAAGGGCCTTAGAAAGTTAGTTTACAAATGCTTTTGTGCCGTTATCAAATGTTATGCTTGATAAGTTCTGTCAGTTGTTTAATATGTTTTAATATGTATTTTTATGTTATGGACACTCTAAAAACCATGGCTCCTCCCAAATCTAAGAATCATAGGAATTCTATATCATGTGTGTTTGGAAGCCACATTATCATTGTTATTGTTATTGTTATTGCTCAGTTCACACCCTGGCAGGCTGCTGCCTACCGATCTGCACTTAAGCCAGGCATGAACCTACGGAAATTTAGTCGTAGCCTATGCTAGACCGTATAGCATAACGACTTTCCTTTCACTAGCAGGCTTTTTGGTCCCACTAGCGTCCGATTAGGGGATAGTAAGAGATTGAAAGAATAAAGAAGAGAGATAGAGGATTTTGTTGTTTTGCTGAAAAAAAAAAAAACACACCGGCTTGTTGTGCAACATCAGGTTTGTTCGCTTTCATTCCTTTCCAAGGGGCAACGTCCATCGTCGTCGTACTCAAATACCTGGGAACCTCAAGAGGTGCACAGGGCCAACGTGAAAGACTTCCATTCTGGGCAGCTGCTTGACCTGGGCCCAGGTCAAATTCCTATCAAACGCTTGCATGCAGACTTCGTTTCTATTGCTATCGGCTTCTGATGACATTTACATCTAAGATCCATTTGTGAGGCCACCAGCCACAAGTTATATACCGCAGGCAGCGGTTGATGAGACCTGCAGCTTTTGAGTGTTCTCCACTGGTGCTGCACAGATTCCACGTTTTAATCGAAGTTTCGAATTTTGGTACGTTGACCAATCTGATTTGATCTCCGCTTTTTTGTTAATGTCATATTATCACCGACCTTATTACCATCACCTTAGTGTGTGACATCAGGTGTACGCTCCTCTGTGTTTTCGTTACCAATGCAGTTAATTTGACACGTTTGTTGCATTCCCGTATGTCTCAATATTATTCTTGCTGAACCACCGTCAAACCCACTATCCAGAGGCAGCGAACCACCTTAACATCTGAAATTATACAAAAACAAATTAAACATTAGCACCAAGCCACCCCCCCCCCCCCCCCCCTTCCTCCTTCCACGATTGCAACAGCTCCAAGCAGGGTGCCTTCAATTCATTTTGACTCAAAAAATGTTTCAAGAAATTATGGAATAATAAGATATTATGAAAATATTTTGATTGTGTAAACAACAAGAAAAGATTGTAACACCCGCCAATTTTGCTACATGAGAGTCGCGATAAGCGATTTTGTAATTTATCTCACCCACTCTTCGCTCTTCACTCTTCGCGAAGAGGCGATCAGAAAAACGCTCATTGTGACTCTGTCAAAGCTAAATTTGCAGGTTTGATGTGTCAAACACAAACTTAACAATCTTCTCCTATTACTCACACATACAAAATATCATCATATCATCTTATTATTCCATAACTTCATAAAACATTTTTTTAGTCAAAATGAATGGAAGGCACCCTGGCTCCAAGCCATGCAACAGGATCATTTCGTGCCCCATGGCAACTTGATCCAGTTGCTTCCAGGTTCATTGTTTTGGCGCCAGCCGGGAGAGACTTGGTCCTGTACCAAATGCTTTCCTTGTCTCCATTCCGCTCAGCTACTCGCAATTGATTGTGATATTAGTGGGCGGAATATTACAATGTGAGACAATTCAATGCAGACGTCTTCCAAATTTGGCCGATCGTCAGGTAATCAGTGGGTTACCACCTGGCACCTCTTAGCAAGCACTATGCTACGAAGCGGACCGGAAGTTTTAATGAACAACCTCCCCCGTGTTTTGAAGCCACATTATCATGCTACCATATGAGTCTTAGAAATAACCGATTGCATCATGTAGGTAGGAGAAATAAATGGAAATGTGATTTTCTCCTTCGGAAATAAATATAAGGAGGCCATACAAAAATGTATGGGAAATTGGTCATTTTCTAAACATTAATTAGCATGTCAACAATGATTTTGGCACCAAAATAATCAAAGAGTTAGTTCAAATAATAATTAAACTTCATTGCTGAAAAGTAATAAGCAGATCCAATTCCTAGAAGTTCTCGAACATCACAAAAATCATTGGTTGATCAGTGATGATCCAAAAAAATTTACTAATCCTTACATGGACTATTTTCCAATCATGATTAAGCTTGTCTATACTTTTTTCCTTGATTTGTTTTCCGTGCTGAGCACCAAAGCTACCGACGCCAGGGAGGCAGCTCGCACACCTGGACCCTACCCATCGAGCCATCACAACTCATGAACCAGGGACCAACGGCTTTGCTTCCCTTCCGAAGGAAGGCGTAATCAGAGATGTTATGCCTCAGAATATCCCGGCGGTGTTGACTAGCTTGTCTATACTTATTAGGGCATCAAAGTAGCCAATAACCAAACAAATAATGTTTGAACTTGATTTTTGCAATGTTTGGCGGGAATCCAAACGACAGAAGTTATTTGATAATTGATTTCAACTGACATGGATACACAGAAGCTAACTCAGATTCTATATTGGTGCAAACACACCTGATATAGAATTCCTTAGATTCTTAGATTTGGGAGGAGCCATGGTTTTTAAAGTATCCTTATATTAATTTCCACTAGTGTATGTAACACAGAGCTTTTATTTAGCATAACACTTACAAGGGTTTGTGAATCTTTCACTGCTGTCGTTGATTTTCGTACTACCAGCTATGAATGTTGGCGTGATACTGGTGCTGACTTGTTTCTGCTGCCCAAATGCGAATCCTTTATCCGTTTGTATCACATTGGGAGGAGTTGATGATAAATAGTGCAATTGTTTTGCCGCATCAAGAGGTGATCTTCCGTCCATTGGTCTGTACAAATCGCCTCTCAAAGGGGTAATTTTTTTCCGTCGCCTCCTTCGTATATCAACGCCATCTTTTGATTCAATCGATGGTGTAGGTAGTAAGCTATTCGAAATAGGTAGAAGTGTTTGCGGAAGAAGTGGAACTGTGGATGGATACGATTTTTTGCTATTTAATATGAGAGTTGTTGTATGGCTTTGGACATCTTGTAGAGGAATTGCTTGCTGTTTCATTTGCTGCAGTAAGCTTGAAGAACCAGTCGCTGAAGAAATCAAACTGTGATAGTTTGGGTTTGTCGTTAAATGTTTATCCGTGGAAATTACATCAACACTTGGGGGGTTTGCAATTGATTTGGACTGAAGGTAATTCACGAGGTTGCTACACACTGCGTCCACTTTTCTTTCCACCGGCAAGGAACCGGTTTTTTTGTCTGGTTTTGTAATCTTTGTTGGATCGATACTGTCGAAATGCCTTATTTTTTTCTTCATCAACATTTCAGTAACACAAGTGTCTCTTTCTATTTCTGCATCATCTAACTTTAACTGATGCTGAGCAAAATCCTCTTCTTCCATTATTTTAGCTAATTCCTCTTCATTTACATCAGGATCAGGAAGGTTGGCAGCTAGCTCTTCGTCAAAATCATCCGAATCAAGGTGTTTAGAGCTTTTGAGGAAGTCAATATCCAGTACTTTGGCACTTTCTATTACTTGAAGTGGTATTATAGAAAGAGCTGTTTGTTTGTTTTTCTCGTGGATTTGAAGTGGTTCTATCATAGGAGTTGCAAGTTCTTTTGCAGCTGCAGTATTTTTCTCAGCCAACATACGTTTTATTTCTTCTTGCTTCTTAATAAATTTCTCTCGTTCTTCTGGAGGGGTATCTGGACGCTGAACTCCTGGAGTAATTCCATCGTCAGAACTTTCAAAATCCTCATCTAGAATATAATGTAGCTTTTTACCACGAGTACGCCGTTTATTATGTATATCTGATATTTTCTCTTGGCCCGAAGAGTCTGAATCTGATTGAATTAGTGCTGGTCTTTTTCTGATACCACTTTTGTATGTCTCATCGTCATTAGCTTTCTTGGACTTCTTTTTATTGTGATCATTGATTTTGACACGGTTAATAACCTTTACTTTAGTTTTTCTTTTCTTCCAGTCATCTTCACTGCTATCAGTTTCCGTATCGTTACACAGATCCTCGCTGTTAATTTCTTCACTTTCCGTGACATCCTCATCATTAAATTCATCCGAATCATCAAGAATTTTTTTCGTTTTGTTTGAGCGCTTTCGGATATTATAAGCAGTACTTTTGTCACTGTCGTCATCGTCATCGTTGATAAATTCCTTGTCTCTTTTTTTGCTAGCCGCGGCACGGAAATTTTTCGACCTCTTCAATTCTAAAGAACTTTCACTATCTTCAGTCATAGAGAAACTGTCTTCTGAAGAAGAAATTTCCTCAGAAAAATCTTCATCTGATCCATCGTCTTCCTCTGAACTCACGTCAAGACTATTCAGTCTTTTCTTCTTCTTCTTCTTTAATGTATTATTTTTTTGTATTTTGAATTTTTCTGGTACTGGAGAATTACTGTGTGATCGACTTTGCTTACATTCCTCTTTTCTGATAGCTTCTACAATATTCCTTATATCTTTACCATGAGGTGGTGACTCGGGAGATTCAATGGTGCTCCGATCAATAGCCGACTTAATAAGGTTATCATATTCATTTAATTTGTAGCTTAGATTTGACGTGTTCCTTCTTCTTAATTTATAAATAGGAACATCATCTGAACTTGAATCATCGGAATGTTTATTGGATGTCTTGCCGTCGGTAGATGATGAGGAAGTGTCATCTGCAGTATTTTTAGATGTTTTGGAACGTCTCCTGTCCTTATATTTCTTTATCTCCAAACCTGATTTTTCTTCTTCTGACCAATCACGCTTTAAAGCATTTTGTTCTTCCAAAATTTGTTTCTGAAGAGCTTCTTCAGCTTTCATCTTTTCAAAATATTCATCATATTTGAGTAGTTTGATCTGTAGATTCGATATCAATTTATCATGTTGACATATAGGACAGAACCAGTCCCCTTCAGGTATGATAAACAACACTGGGACAAGACATGAGCAATGATAACCTTTGTCGCAGGAATCACACAAAAGAATCCATTCGGGGTGATCTTGTTTACCACATTTTTGGCAAACGTGATCCCTGTTGGAATCTATAGATTCATTATCGTTATCTGAATACTTTTCAACTTTGACAGTTCTAGCTCTCTTGACTGGTACGATAATATCTTCCAGATCAGATTCTGGTGAAAACTCGTGGTCTGACTTCAACGACTGAATATCTGATCGTTCATGTTCAATATAATCATCTTCCGGTTCAGATTCACTGCTGCTTTCTGAAGAAGAGTTCATCCAGGGCTTATCGTTCTTCTTCTTTATTTTCACTTTTGATTCAGTATGTTTGGAGTCTTCATCATCAGACATAACATAGTCCTCGTCGTCATCGTCAGATATACTTTGCTTAATTTCCCTTTTTTTCTTAATCGCCTCTGCCTTCATCTGACGCAGCATTTTTTCCTCGATCATACGCCTGTTGGTTTCTTCTTGTATTTTCTGCTGTGCTATTCTCCTTGATTGCCGAATGGGAGGTGATCCATTTTCCGATTTGTCGATAATTACTTGTGAAATATCTAATCCGTCCACTGAAAAAAAAAAAACAAAAAACAACATTTTAATATGTGACCGTGAATTTTGCGTATTTGAGTTAATGGAACTCAAATTTCAGAGAGAATAAACGGTCGTGTGGATATATGGGTTAGTTTCCATGTAGATATGCTGAAGATATCTCAAAATTGAGAAGAATTTAACTAATTTTGGCATACACATTTCCATCAGTTTTATAATACTTCTCAAGTATCGTTTACAGTTTACAAAATGAATGAAATTTCACTCAATCATGGTTTAGTCTTAGCGGCCGAGAAATAAACTAAAGAAGCCGCCATTTTCTGTTGCAGTGGAACAACCTACAGAATATAGGTTGAACTACTTATTTAGTTATAATAAAAAAATCAATATTTTAAAACAAACACAGGTTTATGCTATAATAACAGCATAAGTGGTTCCCCGAAAACCAGTTTCCCGATAACACTTTCCCCGAATGTTTTATCCCCGAAATAATATTCGCCGAATGAACCAGTTCCCTGAAAGGAACGTTTTTCCGAAAACTATTTCTCTGAAAAAACTAGTTCCCCGAAAGATACAATTTACACTGTATAGTCTATTAAAATATGTTCCTATGGTTTGTTACAACTTATCTAGGGTAGGTGTTCCAGTAATAGTGGCGAACCTATAGTTGCGGTATGGGGGTTGTACCGGAATAATGAGGGAAACCCGATAAGGTTATTTTCCATCGGTAGCTCTTCTAAAATAAAGCAGATATTCAATTTTCAAACTTGATTTTATTTAAGATTTTGACTCCTTTGCACCTAGCTGTAGGGTTCCTATAATAGTATAATCCATAAGAAACCAATGCGTTCCACTCTTTATAACGTGCCAGTGCGGTGTTACTCCCAGCACTGATGAAACCCCCGTCTCCAAGCCTCAGGGTCGGCACACGCTCGTGATTATTCCGCGAATTAAGAAAACACTCAAAGTTCAATTAAGATAAACTCCCACTTTATTCGTTTTGACGACACTCACTTCACGGACGGTCTCCCACTTCCTTAGGTGCCTACTCCTACCTTGTGCTAGCACTACTCTTCTTTGTCTTCGGGGCCCCTTCACCTGCCACTGCCGTCGTCGTTCCTCTTCTTCCTCTGGTACCGCATCACCTTCTAGGGCCAGGGGTGGACGCGTCTACCTGTCCCGTGCGCCCCTCGAGTATGGTGACGGACTCGAGGTTTCAACGAACCACAAGGGTAAGTTGACTTGCCTGGATTGGTTGCGCACACTGTAGCTGAGGGATCAGATTCTGGAACTGCGATTCGGACACCTTATCGGCGATTGGCGTGGTCGTCTCCGGAAAATTCGTTGAGTTCACTGGCGTTACGGTAAAACCGCGAGGTCCTGGCTGTCCAATGGTATGTGGCAGCTTCCTCTACAACTTCTTCAACTTCAACTTCCAACTTAGCTCACTTTAGCACTTAGTTTTCACCTTCAAACTATTAACGCTATCAAACGCTATGTGACCGTAGTCTATAATGATCACCAGGCTTCTGACTGTGCCTCTTGGTGGACGATGACCCCGAACCGTGACCGTTGAAGCGTCGTACGTGCCACGAATTCTCCACGCAATGGCCCGATTACGCCACCCCTATGGACGTCCATTCATGACTACACACAGCGTGCTCTGGTGGTGGCTAGTGGCATTGTTCTACAGCTTATAGGGAAGTGTCTCCTACTGGCTGCGTTCGTGAGGATTCTGGGACGTTTTACCTTTTACGAACATTTAAACATTTTCTTAGAATTTAATAACTAAATATACGAAAACTACACGCGATTAATCTCACCAATCTTGGACGCAACGCTTACACTTGTTACACTCTCCCCCCGCTCGGGTAAAAATTATTAGGGTAGCTAATATTTTTTTTTAATTCCACACTCAACATTTCGACAACTTAACACATACCTCTGAACCTGAATATTCACAAACATCGTTGACAGTCACTTATTTTTTTACAAGAAAATTGACAATATTTTTACACGATATATCACTCCATCAGGCTCACAATTCCACTTGGGTAAGAAGAGCGTTTGATTTTAACACTGTTATGGGTCGGGGTCATAAGGTATCATCATTGGATTTTCCAACTCCACGCAATTTAGAGGTAAAACCTGCTACTGACCATCAACATCGTAAGATTCCGGTCTCCAGCGATCCCAATAATGTTATTTTTTGGACCAACCTTGATGAGATACAATTTAAAAATATTTAAAACAAAGGAATTACATTATTGAAATATACAATAAAAAAATAAAATAAATTCGCATGCTATATCTAAGACATGCAATAAAATATACAAATAAATTCCGGAATTTCTATTTACAAATACAAAATTACAAAGTCGCAACAGAGTACGGTTTCAAACGTTTCCTTTAATACTAAGCCACATTTCACAGTGTCGGAGTTCACTGTTGACCGGCCGATCTACTATACCTACTCGTGATAACGTTATTATTGATCTCTATGTGTGCGTATTAATCTGGAAGATCGAGCTGTCAGCCATGTTCTGACAAATGTGATGATTGTTAAAAAAATGGTAAGTCTGCAATGTGGTTTTAGCTGCGAAAATTCTGGAAAATTGGCACTAAGAGCGGTAGTATCATTTTAATGACGTTCGTCGACGAAAGTTTGGCCAAATGATCATTAAATTGGTGTATAACTCTTGAAGTGCTGAGTTTTCAGTGATTTCCCATCTAAAAGCTCATTGTAGTGCTATGCATGAGGAACGCATGCAATTTCAGGTAAGTACCTTTTGGGTTTCTATTGTGCACCGTTTATTGTTTGTGAAAAGATTATTGGTTTTATGTTCCTCCTATGGTGTTGTGGTTTATTTGAAGATATGGTTTCAAGATCATGGCTCACTGTTGCCTAACCTTTCACGCACGAATACTAGTTTACCCCACGCAAAGCATTCATCGACCACTTGCGAAGCAACATTAGATGATCTTGATTACAAGATTGCTTGCGAGTTGATAGAATGCATTTTTGTGCATGTGCAAACTTTTCAAGTTATGCTCTGTATTTTCGAACACTAATTCTGGAATTTTACACTAATTTAATAAAACACATTAAAAATTACCAACACAAATTGTTAAAAATATTCTACGATTTCCTAGGATTTTACTGAATGCGAGCGTCATATAACGACAAGCATTTCCGAAGCTGCACTTTTGGACAAATATTTGTTCCCTCCTCGAAATGGGATTATACCAATGGAATTGGACTAGTCCTCCAAATGAAGATATTAACGGATTGACTGCCATCAACCGATTGGGCCTCCCGCTTCTCAGGAACAAACTTTACCGAGAGATGTTTGTTACTCCTCCGCCTACGCTTTCAAATCTGCCGATGAAAATACTCCGAGGGACTTTCCATTCAGGTCGGAAACCTCCTATGAGCTTGTTCCTTTCTTGGCGACGATGATGCAGGGAACATAGACTGGACCGAGCTTCGCGTTATAGTCGTGACCAGCTGAAGACTGTCGGAATGACCGTTTGTATACACGTTGCCCTACGTCGAATGTTGGTGAGTACCTTTTGTGACGCAGGTCGTACTGTTTTTTAGTACTATCGTGAGTCTTCTTTAGATTCTCCCTGACCGTATCCCACACCTTCTTATTCACTCCCTTCATCCTCTCCATTCGAGCTTCCTCGGTAAGTTCCTCGTTTCTCTCTAGTCGGTGATCATATCCTCGGGTCATGATCTCATTTCCGAATACGATCCGATGTGGAGAGAATTTAGTTGACGAGTGAACTGTGTTATTAAGCACGTACTCCATCTCCGACACTTTAGTATCCCACAGGTGTTGATCTTGTCGGACGTATGATCGGATCATCGCGTTGATGGTCCTATTCAAGCGCTCCGCTGGGTTTGCCTGACTTCTGTGACGAGCATTCGCCCAATGCTGAATCTTGTACTTTTTTAGCAATTCCTGAAATTCTTTGGACAGGAACGTCGTTGCGTTGTCCAAGATCAGGTACTGTGGTACTGACAACTTTCGCAGCCACATGTCCTCCACGATTTTGCACAGACTACTAGACGAAATCTTCTTTACCGGGACAAGCAGACAATACTTAGAAAAGAGGTCAAGAATGACCAATAAGTGTGCATTTCCCTGCTTGCTCCGCGGTAGCGACTGAATGTAGTCCATACAGATGATTTGGAACGGTTTGGATGCAATTCGTTGCTGTCCCATTTCTGGTGCTGTTGAGACTGTCGATGGTTTGTTTTCCTTACACGATTCACAGTTTTTGACGTACTTCTTGAGATCGGCGCTCATTCTCGGCCAATAGTACCGTCTCTTGAGCTTCTCCAAGCATTTTTCAAAGCCAATGTGCAAGCTTTCGTCATGCTCTTGTCTCATCACTCGTGAACGTGAAGATTCCGGTACGCACTCCTTCCACTGAAAACTGTAATCGAGAACGTCTGACCTAGCAGAAACCAACTTATACAATTTTCCGCTGTCGACACGAAAATCGATGTACTTCTCCGGATCTTCTTCCACTGCTTGGTAGAGGTTTATGTACCACTCGTCCTCATTCTCTATTTCTAGAGCTTCGATGGATCGAGATAGAGTATCTGGTACTATGTTGTCCATCCCCTTCCTGTGTTTCACCTCCATGTCGTACTGCTGTAGGGTTATACTCCATCTACTCAGTCGCGACGACGATCTCCACTTAGCCTTCATGATAAAGGTCAACGCTGATGAATCCGTTATCAACGTGAAAGGTGTACCCTCAATGTAGCACCTGAATTTATCGATGCAACGTAAGGCAGCTAAGCCTTCCTTTTCTGCGGCATGATAATTCAGCTCCGCACCTTTCAGTTTCTCGGAATGGTATGCAATGACCTTTTCCTCTCCATTCTGGACTTGTGTTAGAACTCCAGCGATTGCTGTGTCACTTGCGTCTGTTTGGACGCTGAATGGCAAATTAAAATTTGGATTGGCCATCACAGGTGCTGAAATCAGTCTCTCTTTGA